GCGGTCTCATACTGGGGAACGACCCTATGTTTGTCAGTACGACAACTGCACCAAAGCTTTCAGCAATTCATCCGACCGGGCGAAACATCAGAGGACTCATATCGACACTGTATGCCATCATTACTATCACTTATCATTCAATTCGTAGTACACTAGGGAAAATTCCTATATCATTAAAATACAGATTAATTTTAAGCAATTACATTAAATTAAAAGTAAAAATCTGAATACAATTTATTTATAGAAACCATACGGGTGTCAAGTCCCCAACTGTGGCAAAAAATATACTGACCCGAGTTCTTTAAGAAAACACATGAAAAATCATTTATTAAAAACAGACAGACGGAAAAAGGTTTGATAATCAGGATAACTTGATATTTAAAATGCATTTTGTGATTAATTTGAATATTCCTCGGCATATAGACATCGAGCACTTCAACTTCAACATCAATCTCCGGACTTGAAGACAACTCAATGCCCAATATGTTTAGAGATCACAGAAGTCTGAACTCATCGTTGAATTCTTCGTTCAACGGAAGCTTTTCGAGTTCATTGTCGCAGTCGTGGGGAGGCGTGAGTTCGCCGCTCAGCTCGTCCTGTATTTCGCATAATTTCACTACAGAAGTGCCTAAAATGGTTAGACCCCTATCAATGGCCAGTTCATACAATGCTGGAGTTTCTGGCGGTGTATCCAGTGCTCAGTACTGGCAAAGCGAACGACAAGTTCATAGCAATTATAATCACGCAAATAGTTTGGCTAACATATTGGCCAACACTTCAATTCAAGGGTTAACTAATCAGCACATTTCTAAACTGTTAGCACCCATACCTAACTCAACTCAATCCAATGCTAATCAATTCAATCAAATCAACGATAATTCTAATTATTATCAATAAATTATTTTAATACAACACTATTTTAAATATTAATTATCTCAACCATTATTGTTTATTACGATATGTATGTTTATAGCTTTAATACTAACCAAATATTAATATTAACCAATAATGGGTAGTTATAAATATTTACAATTATTTTACATGCAATATTAATTCAGCATGTTATAAATAGTTGTACCATAATTTTATAAAGCAATTAATTTTTCTAATTATTTAAAATTATCAATTATGCATAAGCAACTTAGTAAAACATGTTAATAAGTTATTTAAATAATAAAACTTATAATTTATTACAATTCCTGGAATTAATTATAAGATCTCATAAATAATAAATAATAAATATCAGATAATATAGTATGCGCAATAATTGATTTTATTTTACAATATGTATTACATTTAAATTAATTTATACCTACGGTATAACACAATATGATAATTATAGCTTAATTTTATATTAATAATTAAAACACTGACATTAAATCATAGAAATAAATGTTAACCATTACTGGTGAAATAATTGTATTTTAAATTGACCGAGAAATAAAAAACATTTAAAACATGTCTAATCATAAACAGCTCCAATAACGATGGCCAAATTTAGCTCGGAATCATTGGTCATAATTGGTGAATATGATAAATTCCAGAGTCTCGCACTTAAAATAACTGTTAAATTATGTTAGTGTTAACCCTATTGTTAAGTTAATTCAATTCATACACATCTCATTGGGACGGAGAGTGTCCTCAACAGACCCACAGCCACGAGAAGCACAAAATTCTTTGGGTTCCGCTTTGATTCTGTTTTCACCCCTGATTTGAATCATTAGCAGTGCCTGAGTTCCGGGCGACGGATCAATCTGTTTGTCAAATAAATATATATTTACAACAAAAATCAACAAATAAAATTTGTGTCAAACCAATTTGAACTGCAATCCCGTATAGTTTTGTGAAACTAAAATCCAATTTGATTTCGTGAGTTCAAGCATTGAGGGAACTATTTCTGGTCTTTTATAATATTTTCTCATTTGTTTCTCAGTCTTTTGGTCGCAATTCTCC